TGTGTCGGTTATCAAAGACCTTTTTGTACAATTAAATGTGATTTTTTATTATATGGTCTTTTGATCTCTGGTTCAGCCTGCATGTATATTTCCTTCTGAGACTTGAGTGTAAGTAAAAATTTCTTTTTCTTCCTATTGAAAATAATTTAATGCTTGATACAATGAATCAGAAAGATTTACGAAATGAGATCTGACACTGGATAATAAGATGTTCAAAAGTGGTCACATAAATCTTTTCTTTTGGATCTAAAACATTTATCTCAAGTTTCAATTCTGGCAGTGTGGAGGACTGCACTGATTTAGATCCCCTCTGGCTACAAAATCAGAAATATTTAATATATAAAATCAGTATAATAAAAAATTTAATTCATTGATGATATTTATAAATATAAAAGGAAATCTCTAGTTGCCAGAAATAACAGGAAGATTTAAAGTCAGAGCAAACAGCATGTAAACTGAAGACAGAGACTTGAGAATGACTTAAGTCTGTTTATTGGTCCCATGCCTGAGGGGTATTAACTAAAGGAGCAGGGTTAGCCTTGGGCCCCTTAAAGGAACTGAGATTTCTGTTTAAAGCCTGAGCGTTGGAAGGTGGTCCATGCGTGAAGTAAGAACTCAAAAACAAAAATACCCATTTGGCCTGGGATCATAAAGAAGTCTGTCTTTGTCTTGGGTTCTGAATTTTTTAAAATCTCCTTTGAGAAAAACAAATGCATTTCTGGCCTATGGATTTGAAATTCAGATTCACAATATTCACATGGTGTGAAAATTCCAAACTGAGAAATTAATGCAGAAACAATTTTTGGACTGTTGCTAACCCAAGAATGCTTGGTATAAGCAAACACAAAGTCACTGCATTAGCAACACTTTAACAGTTCAGGGCTCATGACAATGTGCTCAAAATCAAAAATTACAAATCTTTTGAGTAACTGATCTATCATGAATGAGAGTCAGAAGACTCAGTAAGCAGTATAATTAGCACTGCTGGAACTTCACCTAATAGAGTGATAACTTAGTAAAGACAGGTTTAAAAGAAGGTTTAAAATAAAGTATGGAAGGAAAGGAGGGAAGGAAGAAGAAAGGAAAGAAAAGATCACTATGTAAAAAGGATCCAGACATAACTTTTAAAGAACCAAATGGAATATCTAAACAAAAAATCTATAGCCCTGAGACATCCTAAGGCTGTTGTCTGATGCTATGCTGTTGCTTAGACTGTTAAAGGAAATTGAAGGAACACTGTTTACTTTCCACAGTTCTCACCAAACACCGTCTCTGTTCTCCCACTTCCTGTGTTGGTTACCCAGGTAACATCTTCATTCTGCTCAGAGAAACTGAGAATGAAAAGTCTAAGGAATAGCTAGAAATGTCACTGGGGTGAAGGATCACTTAACCCCTGCTTCCTCTCCCTGTCTGTATGCAACATCTGTCCCCATGCCCCCAAATCTCGCTTGTAGTTTTCACAAGAATGGGGATAGTGCTAAACCGTTTTCCCATTGGAATTAGGAAAATGAATTTAAAGTGGTTTACCTTACTCACTGCATATGGTGACTGCAGCCATGAAATTAAAAGATGCTTACTCCTTGGAAGGAAAGTTATGACCAACCTAGATAACATATTAAAAAGCAGAGACATTGCCAACAAAGGTCCGTCTGGTCAAGGCTATGGTTTTTCCAGTGGTCATGTATGGGTGTGAGAGTTGGACTGTGAAGAAAGCTGAGTGCTGAAAAATTGATGCTTTTGAACTGTGGTGTTGGAGAAGACTCTTGAGAGTCCCTTGGACTGCAAGGAGATCCACCCAGTCCATCCTAAAGGAGATCAGTCCTGGGTGTTCATTGGAAGGACTGATGCTGAAGCTCAAACTCCAATACTTTGGCCACCTGATGCGAAGAGTTGACTCATTAGAAAAGACCCTAATGCTGGGAGGGATTGGGGGCAGGTGGAGAAGGGGACGACAGAGGATGAGATGGCTGGATGGCATCACCAACTCCATGGACATGAGTTTGAGTAAACTCCGGGAGTTTGTGATGGACAGGGAGACGTGGTGTGCTGCAATTCATGGGGTCGCAAAGAGTTGGACATGACTGAGCGACTGAACTGAACTGACCTTACTAATCTTTGAAACTCTTTAATATATTCTTTCTCTGCTCCCTGCCCTCATCTCCCAGCATTTAGCCCAGTATCTGTCACATAGGTACATACTTAATAAATGCAGCCATGAAACCCTCATTTAATAAAATCCCTGCTGCTGCTGCTGCTCCTGAGTCGCTTCAGTTGTGCCTGACACTGTATGACCCCGTAGACTGCAGCCTACCAGGCTTCTCTGTCCATGGGATTTTCCAGGCAAGAGTACTGCAGTGGGGTGCCATTGCCTTCTCTAATGCCATATAATCCATGCATCTTCTTGGTGCTCATGAGAATCCAAAAAGGTAGACTAGTTTTGGTTAAGTTCTGTGTCACTCAAAAGACATTGGTCATGTTTATTGCTTTTAAATATATTTGCATTTTCCATTTAAAATGGCCTAATAGTGATAGTCATTTTTTAATGTTGCCGTGCTTTTTTTCTTTTGGTTTTATTCAGTAACTCATCAATTTCTATTATTGCTTTCTTCAAAATATTTATCTCCATCCGTTCCTCTTCACTCCCATGGTCTGCCTCAGCGGAGGCATGAATCATTTCCTTTGTGACTCAGAATATCATCCTGATGATCTTGCCATTCAGTGAATTCCCCCAGCTGTAGATATTTTAACTTGAACAAGACCACTTAGAAACTTGTAGTGACTTCCCATCTGCCTGCTAGATATAATCCAGATTCGAGACTGCTGACTCCAGCTGAGTTCCTCTTTCTTACCGTCTCCTCCGTTATAGACGCTCACACCAGCCAGGCTCACCTCCTCGCTTTCCGCTGTATGCTCATGCTTAGAAATGAATGGGGTTATAGGCGTCTCTTTTCACCTGGCCCTGATTGAGAGCTCTCCCTTTGAGGTCGTGTGGCCGTTTTGAGGCCTAAGAGGATACCCTTCCTACTGGTAGAGGGCAGTAGGCTCTACCACTGGTGGAGACTCTCACTGGTCTCACTGGTGGAAACACTGACTCCATACAACTGGGTACTAATTTAGGACAGTGCAGTTTCAGAACTCTGGGAAGAATACCATGTCTAACTTCCTGCTACTCAAAGCTGATGGGAGAAGCAGCATTTATTTATGCCTAAAGAGGAGCAGCCCATACATACCCTTTTCTGCGGAGTATGAAATTAGTGCTTGAAATCAGATGAGCAAAGCCAGGACCCATCCTTTGGGACTCACCACAGAGTGGTTAGTTTGAAATTGTACTCTTCAACCAATGTTGAGCAAGTTTATAAGACACAGTTTGATAAAAAACAAAACTGTAATTACTTTAAAAGGAAGTTGTTGAAGACAATAATGTTCATGACATTATTCAATGTTTTCTTTATTAGACCCATGAGATAATTTTCCTTTGGACAGAGAGTAGGATGAATTGAGGTTCTGTTAAGCAATGAATTTTGTAGTTGATCGTATGGCTTCCTTTGAGTTGGCTGCCCCATGGCTCAGCTAATTTTGAGGACCACGTAGAGCAAGTGTTTGGAACTTCTCAACATAAAGTATATGTGGTCGATTGGTTCCAGGTTTCATCTTATTATTTTTCACCCTTTATCCAAATCCTCTCTGATTTTCTTACTTACCTTGACTTTGTCTTACTATATGTATTTTTGTAATCCACCTAGGGGAGTAAGATATAGTATAAACTCACATATAAGCACATATCATCTAATTTGTAGTTAGATAACCACAGTTATTCATATAAGAAGATAATTCAAAATTCCAGATGTTTAAAGAAATGAATTGAAGAGAAACTTTAAAATATTTTGCTTTATTCCCAGAAGTTGAGATCTGTTATACCTCGTCATTGAAATAACGGCATAAGATTTGAGGAAACAAATTTTTAAGGAACATTAAGTATGAAAATGACGGATATGCTAAATAGGGGAATCAACAGTCAGGGCATGCCATTAATCCAAAGTTTTTTATATGCATATTCATTCTTTAATTAGACATTGGGGTTTAGGATAAACCCTGAGTTCAGGAGCTGTGTGAAATCACTTGGCAATCAATTTTCCTCACACCATTTAATTATAATCATTAAGTAGTACATGACATCCTGGTAACTAAAAGTAATTTCTGATTTTAAAAACTGTTTAGGTTTTTTTTCATTTTCTGTTTCGTTTAAAGGGAATATGTATAATTCAAAATACTTCTCTAACCCAAAGTAATTGCAAAGGGAAATTTTGAATTGATAAGGCATAGATGTAAATAAAGAAGGCAGAGAAAATTAGCAAAGTTCTGAGTTTTCTTCTTAGAAAGAAAAGAGAGGAGATGAACAGGGCTTTATGTATGTCGGAAACAGGAGAAATCATACAGTTCATCCTCACCAAACCAACACATTGCCAATAGAAGCTGCTTGAGAAACTAGTAAAATGTGGGGATTTGTTGGCAAAAAAAGCACCCACAGAGCTTACTAGTGAGAGAGAAGATGAACCCCAGCCAGGGAAGCCACCATTTCCCTTCTGCCTGCCGCACACCACGCCCTGTGGTAGAGAAGGAATATTGCAGAGGTGGTCACTAGGGGTATAAACTCCTCAAGTAGAGCTGTGACTGCCAGAGGGTTGTGCCGATGTGACATTGTGCTCAGAATCCTTGGGGAACACGTTCCAGGAAAATGCAGCCCTTATATCTATCCTTGGGCGTTTGCTAGGTGCACAGCTTGGGTATTCGGATATTGAATCTGTTCTTCAGTGCTTAATGTTTCCCTCTGTGTGTGTGCATGTATGTGAGTGTGTATACATGTGTGCACACCCATGCTTGCGTGCTTGTGTGCCCAGATGAGAAACTGAATTGTTTTTATGACTGTAAATAATTCTAGGAATACATACTCTGCCTAGGTTTTCATGTGGGTTGTAACTGTCTATTTTTTAATTTCACAGTGCGTGGACAACATACGGTGTAATGGTTTAATGACTATAGTGTTTGAAGAAAATTCCAAAGTTACTGTGCCACATATGATTAAGTAAGTGTGATAATCCTTTCTCTGACATTTTAATCAGGATCAAATTGGTGGAGAATGTAAAACCCTGAATAAAATATTGCTTCACTGGGATTCAGCTTCATACTGTGAATACATTCAACAGTAATGTGATAATTCATAATATGCCATTATAAATAATAAGACTATTGTAATGGTTTTTCAGATTCATAGTTTATTGACTCACAGCATAGAAATATAGTTTTTCATACTATTCAGAATGCCTTCCTCAGTGCAAAAAACCTATACAAAATTTTAAGTTCAGTATATAAAGTTGTGATAGCAAATGTGTCAGAGGGTGGACAAAAGTTTGGCAGATTCTTTTGCAGTCTTCTCAGTGAGTATAAATCATATTAGTTAGATTTGGTTGTAGAGACACATTGATATTTTGAAGACACTCAACATAAATTAACTGGCTTTTCTATGGTACCATCTACCCACAGCCTGTGTATGGATTTGCCCCAGAGGCTATTTCTGGGGGCTTCCATCCTGCTGTCCATGTGTTTTATTAAGAAAGCAAATCCAATAATTTAGTGTTATCACTAAGGAAACTGTAGTTTAATTTGAAGTGAGAAGTTATATCAATAACCATGTGCCATAACTCTCTTCATTAGTACTTTTGTCTCTATATACTTTCTTGTTTCCAAATTCAAAAATTGCTTTGGAAGGATTTTCAAGCTGACCAAATTATTCCCTACTCTCATTTTCTTGGTTATTTGCAGTCCAAATTCTAAGAATAAAATGTACTTTTAAAAATAGTCCTGTTATATCTTTCCAAAAAGTTACATGAAGCTAAGAAAATGTTTGTCTTCCATGCCTTTTATGTGGATTTTTTTTAGGTCTGAGCTAAGACAAAAAGCAGCATCAACTTTTCTCTTCATTGCAGGTATTGATAGGTACAATTGATACGTACTTTCATTGTAGGTACAATGATAGGTATTTATTGTAATTAGCATCATCCCAATGGTACAAACTTTAAAACTTGTTAATTATTGTATCAGATGAAGGCAGAGTATATTATACTAGTGCCACAGTTACTACAGAAAATATGTTAAAGGATGATACTATTTTAAATTGCTAGTCAAGTTTTAAAATATTTTGAACAGGGTCATTTTTTCTTTCTTTTTATGGAAGAAAAGCTATGATAAACCTAGACAGTATATTAAAATGCAGAGACATTACTTTCCTGACAAAGGTCCATATAGTCAAAGCTGTGGTTTTTCCAGTAGTCGTGTATGGGTATGAGAGTTGGACCATAGAAAAGCTGAATTGATGCTTTTGAACTGTGGTGTTGGAGAAGAGTCTTGAGAGTCTCTGGGACTGCAAGGAGATCAAACCGGTCAATCCTAAAGGAAATCAACATTGAGTATTCATTAGAAAGATTGATGCTGGAGCTCCAATACTTTGGCTACCTGATGTGAAGAGTCAACTCATTGGAAAATATCCTGATGCTGGGGAAGATTGAGAGTAGGAGGAGAAGGGGGCAACAGGATGAGATGGTTGGCTGGCATCACTGACTCAATGGACATGAGTTTGAGCAAGCTCCAGGAGATGGTGAAGGACAGGGAAACCTGGCTTGCTGTAGTCCATGGTGTCACAAAGAGTTGGACACAACTGAGTGACTGAGCAACAACAGGGGTCATTTTAAGACTCTCATGCAGAGATTCCTTTAGCCTTAAGTTTCCTAGGTTTTTAAATATAGTTTAAAAAAGAAACAACAGATCAGGGACTTAGAAATCCACTTTCCAATTCAGGGGACTCAGGTTTGTTCCCTGGCGAGGGATCTAAGATACCACATGCCATAGGGCAATTAATTCCACACACCACAACTAGAGAGCACCTGTGTGCTGCAATGAAGATTTTATGTGCTGCAACCAAGACACAATGAAGCCAACAATAAATAAACAAATAAGTGTATTTTTTTAAAGGTAGGTAAAAAGAAAAGATCAGTTTAAAATGTATGATAATAAAATTAAAACCAAGTATGGAGTATTAAGTCAAAGGTTTTAAATTATGACTTAATTTTTAAGTTCACATCACCAGGCTAGTTTTCTTATTCGTTTTCTGCCAGAGTTCAGTACATTTCAGTTCAGTCGCTCAGTCGTGTCTGACTTTTTGCGACCCCATGGACTGCAGTACGCCAGGCCTCCCTGTCCATCACCAGCTCCCGGAGCTTGCTCAGACTCATGTCCATCAAGTCAGTGATGCCATCCAACCATCCCATCCTCTGTTGTCCCCTTCCCCTCCCACCTTTAATCTTTCCCCAAATCAGGGTCTTTTCCAATGAGTCAGTTCTTTGCATCAGATGGCCAAAGTATTGGAGTTTTGGCTTTAGCACCAGTCCTTCCGATGAATATTCAGGGTTGATTTTCTCTAGGATTGACCAGTTTGATCTCCTTGCAGTCCAGGGGACTCTCAAGAGTCTTCTCCAACACCACAGTTCAAAAGCATCAATTCTTCAGTGCTCAGCTTTCTTTATGGTCCAACACTCACATCCACACATGACTACTGGAAAAACCATAGCTTTGACTATACAGACCTTTGGCAGCAAAGTAATGTCTCTGCTTTTTAATACGCTGTCCAGGTTGGTCATAGCTTTTCTACCAAGGAGCAAGCATCTTTTAATTTTATGCCTGCAGTCACCATCTGCAGTGAGTTTGGAGCCCAGAAAAATAAAGTCTCTTACTGTTTCCATTGTTTCCATTATCTATTTGCCGTGAAGTGATGGGACTTATTTGAATAGTTCACAAAATAATATATCTTATTTTTATCCATTTTTTAAAAGTACTTTCTTGAAGGTTAGACAGCCTTGAAATTCCAGTCTGCTCTAGAATGAGAATATGTAAGTTGGACTTGGTAGCCAACTTATCAGCTCCTGAACCTCAGGGCAGCTGCACGCCTACTCTACATACACTTTGTTCACTTTAAAAATTAATACAGTTAAAAACTTTAGTTTTCTGTCTGCCTCAGTTATGACTGGCACCTCAATGCATCCTCTGTCCTCTGTGCTGGGAGTTTGACTAATGGGCATTTCCATTTCCAGTTTCATTTGTAACTGCCTCCTGTATAGACCAAGACTTCCCTGCATTTGGGGGGACAGAGAGGTCACTGTTATGAGTTGGAACCACTCACTAGAGAATAGAAACGTGTATCTGAGGCTGTAAGGACTTCCTATTGAAGTCACACATGTTTGGATGCCCATCTATTCTCCATGAGGTGCATTCCCAAGGCAGAGTTTCATATATCTTCTATCTTTCTTCCTTCCATTTTCCCCTGGCTCTTTGAGCCTGGTTCTCTTCAATCAGAGAAAAAGATGATTTTGCAATCTCTGTTCCTTCTGATAGTCTCGTCCGTGGTCCTGTTCTTCCCTAAATTCTGTGTTCTTGCCTCCCGGCATATCTCTCTGGCTACATGCAAAAAAAAAAAAAAAAGATGTTTTGCAGAGGTAAAAGAAAAAAATTTATTCTATCTTAATGGCATTACTTTGCAGGGACTCACTTTTAAAACTTACTAATTACAATAGGTGATTTGGGTTTGATGTTTCAAGATTGTTTTTTTAAAATGTTTGCCTAAAAGGAGTTGTTATTATCATAGGAGGCTTAAGTAACGCATTATATCTTCTTGAGGGTCCCTTAGGAAATAAAGTAAAATCTCTTTCAGTGTAATAAAAGAAAATTAAATAATTTCATAATATTTAATTTTTTTTCTTTAGTTAAAATGAAACTGTAATCATAATTTTGAGAGGCAGTGGTGTAATTAGTTTTAATTTCATGTTGGCTACAATATATTTTTTCCTCCTAGTATTTGATTAAAGTAATTATTGTCAGAAAATGCCAAGTGCAAAACTACCATTAGAATACAAAATCATGATATTTATTTGGTGATTATATTCCTTTAAGTGATGTTTTATACTTTATGTATTTAGGCTGAGGCTTGCTTTGTTTTCATAATAGTTGACCTCAACTTAGAGGTTAAAAGAAAAAATTTTTCCTAGCTTAATGGCATTATTTAGAAATGCCATTTCTAAGAAAATGGAGATTTTAGATGGGAAAATGGTGGGATAAAAAGTGATCACCTTGATTAGCCATCCTCTAGACTGGCCGAATTAAAGAAGCTTCTGAGGTCTTTTAACAAGGGAGGGAGATTAAGAACCAGAAAAGTAAAGTTGGTGGATGGTTACATATGAAGAACAAGAAAGAGCCATTCTATTTTCAAGAGCCTTACTCGATGCTCTTCTGTATTTTCGAGATCAGTGATGTGAATGGAATGAACAGGCCGCCCTTAGTTCCTCATCAGAAGTAAGCTACTCATTTAAAATGCTCTTTCAGGCCCTCCGATGAAGTCTTCCCCCCTGCACTGAGTTTACTTTAGGGTGGAATGTTTCCAAGAGCAAGCTAAAGAAGCTGTTGATTTCTTTTTATCCCAAAGAAAATAAATATATAATTTAAAATCCCTCCCAAGTACTGCAAGAGCTAATTAGGGACACTCACAACAGGCCAGCTGATTCTTAGCAAGCGACTGTCTCACTGAACCTCACTGGCCCGTAGTGTACCCTTTAATCAAGTGATAAAATCCAGCGCTTCATTGATCGCCTGTCTCTGAGATGCTGCCGTGAAGGTAGACACGGGGTCTCAGATGCGAATGTGAAGGCTACGGGCAGTCCTCGCAAAGGTGTGCTTTTCTTTGAGCCTCACTTGAATTCAGCCTCAGCTTCCACGCTTTTCGTCTTATGGACTCAGCCCCGGTGCTGGCTTCCTGACCTGTCTAACAGAGGCGCACCACGGGCTGAGGGCTCTGAGCACACCCAAGGATCCCGAGGGCTGCTGTGTGAACCTTCCCCTGAGTCTGCTGCCCACCTGGAAAGACTGCTGCAGGCTTCCAGGACAAGGGCCTCCGGGTGACAGGTTGAGGAGAAGCCAGATGGTGGTTTTATAGAATGAGAGAAACCCAGCGTTGCAGGTGGGCAGGCGGGGACTGTGCAAGGGGAATCTTTAGAAGAGTTCACTGACTATATTACATCCATTATTTTTTTAGGAAGACATTTTTTAACACTGCAGAGTATTGAAAACACAAGGAAAACACAACATTTTACACAATTGATGGTTTAAAATGTACTCAGAATAATGGACGGCCTTTGATGCATTAATCAGCCAGAAAGAATGAAATGGATTAAGGAGTTAGAAAAAGAATAACAAAAATCAACTGTAGGAAAATGTAGGAATAAAATAAGAATGGAAATTAATACCTTAATATATAGAAAAACAGTAGAGCTGATCAAAGAGCTGTTTCCAGAGGAAAAAAATACCTAATAATATAATACCTAGTAGTTTAATCAAGAAAAAAATTGGTGGGGGGAAGCACAGATGTACAAAATTACAAGTGAGAAAAAGAAATAACCACAGATAATAGCAGTGCTGTCTGGGTCTTCCCCTCCTCCCCACCCTTCTGTGGGGAGAATGTTACCCTTATTTTTTAATCACACTTCTGATATTCTGATTTGAGGGTATAAACCCTACTCCTCCTAAATAGGACTTTGGCGTTAATTTCCTAATAAAACAGGATTGAACCAGAGAGAAAGAAGTGAAAGTGGAGTGTGCCTCCCTAACATAGGCCACTTTGGCATGTTGATTACGTTGAGCTACAGACACTTGAAAAACAGAAAATGCAGAGAGGGTTTTTCTGAACTCTTCTTATCTGCCTAAAGACAGATTCTCAAAAAGGAACTCAGTTGTCATAAATCTTCCCAGGAATTTCACCAACCACGGAAGATTGACAGTTGTCACAGGAGAGACTAGATGTTAATATCACACCCAGGCTAACTGTCACAGACCTTCCAGCTATTCTAATACCTTCCATCTATTCTGATACCTTTCATCTATTCTAAGGGTCAATTCATCTTTCCTAAAAATCATTTACTCTCCCCTGAGAAGCCTATACACACCACCACCCCCCCTCCCACTTTCCCTATTAAGATGGCATTTAAGTCTGAGTTCTAAGCCAGCTTTTTGAGTTTCTCATTTTCTCCTGGTTATCTCCCAGGGATACGTGAGATATACATGTTAATAAGCTTGTTTATTTTTCTCTTGTTCATCTTTTATCACAGAGACTCAGCTAAGAACTCAGGAGTGTAGAGAAAAAATTATTTCTCCTCCCCTGGAGAAGGAATCCACAGAGTGGAATGAATGATTCCTGTCTCCACAATTAATTTTGACCTTCTTAAATTATAATGGCATGGTTGATATTTTTGTGGCCCTGTTTTGTTGCATGTGATATGTCCTGGCACATCTTTTATCAAATGCCAGGGGAAGCCTGGACATGGATGTGCATTTACAGACCCTGAAATACTCAGGGGCTGAGGGGCAGCTATGCTCTGGTTTTGTCCTCACTTTCCTGCCTTGTGCGTAGGTCTGACGCCCGGCTTCACAAGGACGACACTGACATTTGCTTCAGTAAAACCCTCAACTCCTGCAAAGTGCCACAGATCCGGTACGCCAGCGTGGAGCGTCTCTTGGAGAGACTGACCGACCTGCGTTTTCTTAGCATTGATTTCCTCAACACCTTTCTGCACACCTATCGGATTTTCACGACGGCAGCCGTGGTGCTGGGGAAGCTTTCTGACATATATAAGAGGCCTTTCACCTCCATCCCCGTCAGGTAGGCCTGGGGTTAGCCTGAGATGAAAGTATGCCCCACCTTGTCCCTAGGTCTCTGTGCTGATGGACAGCCCACTCTGCAGGGTCCTGACTGGCCTTTGAGCTTACCAGATCCCCCAACCCCCAGTAGAAGAGAGTGAGGGGAGGTCACAGTTCCCAAGGGAAGCAGTTTAAGTTTCCAAGTGGCCTTTGCCAAGATAAAGCTATTGTTTGGAGCTTTTCTTTCTACCTTTCTTTTTTTTTTTTTAAAAAAAAAGCAACTGTGCTTTTCACATTTTAATATGCAGAAGCATCACCTGGGGGCCTTGTTAAATCGCAGGCTCTGATTCAGTAAATCTGGAGTGGAGCCCAATGCCAGTGTTACTTGTCTTTGGACACAGTTTAGTAGCAAGGGGTTAGACAAAGCCTAAAAAGTGTGTTCTTTTGGCAAGTGTATGGTATACACCCAACATTTAAATAAAGGAATCCAGCCACAGAAGTTATATGATAGCATGGCCTTTTAATGTAGGGAGCATGTCTTGAACGACATCGGGAGACTGATTTTTCACTCAGCCACAATCTGTTAATAGCTTTTGCTCTTACTTTTAGGTCATTGGAACTGTTTTTTGCTACCAGCCAGAACAACAGAGGTGAACACTTGGTGGAAGGCAAATCCCCACGCCTGTGTCGCAAATTCTCTTCCCCACCTCCACTAGCTGTCTCCAGGACGTCCTCCCCAGTGAGGGCCAGAAAGCTGTCCTTGACTTCTCCCTTGAACTCAAGGATAGGCGCGCTGGATCTGACCACCTCCTCGGCGTCCAGCAGCCCCACCACCACCCACAGCCCGGCTGCGTCCCCACCGCCTCATACTGGTAAAGTGCCGTTGGATCTGAGCAGAGGCCTTTCTTCTCCAGAACAAAGCCCGGGATCTCTAGAGGAGTCTGTTGATAACCCCCGCGTGGATCTGTGTAACAAGCTAAAACGAAGCATTCAGAGAGGTATTATCCTGCTGCCACACCCTGTGTTTGCTGGCCCCCTGTTTCCCCACCATTCCTTCTGGAACCCTAGTTCCCTTTCTTTACCACTTTCCTACTTTTGCATAGAAAGTAGAGTGAATGCAATGGCTAGTTGGAAAGTCCTGAAAGTCTCCAGCCTTTGTGGAAGGAGGGCAGGGTTAGCTGACTTCTGTAGTAAAAGGCCAATTGTAGTCAGTTGTCTATGGAAGGGTGATGTCATCTAGTTGATTATCACTGGAAGGTTCTTAGTGGAATTTGATTAAGGCTGGTTGGCTAAAGAGCATAGCCCAATGTTTGGCATAGAGGCAAGTTGCAGGCACCCTCATCCATGACCTTGAGCCCCAGAGCCTTCTCCTCCTCCAGGGTCCACCTTAAGCACCTGTACTGCTTCCAGCCTTTCCTTGCCTAAGATGACAACCTAGCCTGGAAGTATTAAGATGACTTCTTGAGTTTAGTTTCCAAGGCAACACTCCATATTATGACAGAGGTATAGGGAAAAAATAAAGTCTGAGACAGTGTTCGCTGTCCATGACACAACCAAAGCGGTTTTTAGAAATGTGAATTAGATCATCTGGTTTCCTGATTATAGTCTCTAAAGACTTCCCATCATACTTAGAAAAAAGTACAGTCTTCTTCCCAGGGCCTTCAGATCCTATAAGATTTGGATGCTGTCTCTCTAATCCCTGCTCCTGCCATGCTTCTTCATCTTCTTGGCTTCAGTCACACTGATTTCTTTTTTGTGTCTCAAAAACTCCTGGGTTATTACTGCCTCAGGACCTTGGCACTTGTTTATGCCCTTGCTTGGGCAGTCTTTTCTGCCTGGGAAGTCTTTTCCTACAGAAGCTCATGAGATCAGCAACCTTGTCTCTCTCGTTCAGTTCTGTACTGTCAGGGCGTTGGCCTTTGCCTCACAGATTGTAAATTTTTGTTAAATGAATAAATCAAGCAAAACACTCAGGGGACTAATTAGGGATTGCTGTGACACATCTCCATACCCTCCTCAGCTTGATACAGCGTAAGGGTTGGAGGAGATGAGCCTAGCCTTGTTCTCTTATAATCCAGTGTTTCTGTGACGAACAGAATTTAACAGCCAAATTAGCCAAACAGCTTCTTTGTAAACTACACAGTGACTGATTTGTTTGCTGATAACATAATAAAAAAATGGGCAATAAGTCAGGCAAATTGTCCAAATTTTAAGGAGGATCACTGAGATGGAAGCACAGACTCCTGCTTTATACCTGCTTGAAGCCTCTTTGCAGTTTCTAGCTCAGATCATTTAAATCAGCCTTCTGAGTGAAGTGCTTCATGGAATTTTAACTGGAGTGGTTGTCAAGATCAAAAGTAGCACCCTTTTAAACAAGAAATTCTTTAAGTTGACACATTAGCAACTAAGGAGGATGAAAGGGGAAAGATAATTAAAAAGTCATTAGAACAACAAGCTGCAGCAGAATCACGATGGATTTTTCTTGGGAATAGTGAGGCAGTGCACAAGCTGACAAGTGCATCTGGGGTTTGATCCAGACCAGTGCTTGGGAGTCTCTGGAGGGAGTGATTTGGGGAGGCTTAGTTCAAATCTCCTCTCTGGGTCAGAGCGGCCTAGGAAGTACATGAACTGCCCAGGATATAGAAAGTTCTTTCTCCTCTGTTATTGGATTGTATTAAATGAGAGAGGAGGAACCTGGAGGTTAGTCTGGATTCTCATGTCATTTTGAGTTAGGAGAGCTTTAGGAATAGCATCTCAGTGTCAGACATTGGTGGCTCCGCGAGTTTGGAATGCCCCTGAGGCTGGGATCAGAACAGGGTAAGGTTGTTCGGGAGTCATTGTGACCTCTTTCCCTGCACGTTGCTGCGCTATAGGATCCACAGTGGTAAATAAGATGGTGCCCTTGCCCCTTGGAGAACGTAGACAAGCACAGGTGGTGCAAGATGTAGAGATGGAGTGCTCAGGAAGGCGAAAAGCAGGGGAGATCATGTTTGGTTTGAGCAGAATCTGCAGGTGTCATTGACGTGAGCCAAGAACAATGGACAAATGGGCTGCATGGAGGAAATAGGCAAACTCGTGGGCAAAGAGCACCTATAAGCAAAGGTCTGGTGGTAACCCCCAGTGGTGAAAACCATTTCCAAGAGCAGGAGTGGTCACTGCTTGTGAAAGGACAGCTTTTGTCCAGTTTGGACACCATGTGAAGCTCTGCAGAGGAGACCCTGTTACTAATCTTCCTGCTTTCTAGTATCTAGAAACTATTTAAAACTCTCCTGAAAAGTCCTCCTCTCTCTCCTCCTCCTTCTTTTGGCCATCTTAGCCATTAAGTTTATAGATCAGTAGTGTTAAGTATCAATATATTCACATTATTGTGCAATACACAGAACTTTTTCATCTTGCAAAACTGAAACTATATACCCATTGGACAACTCCCCATTTCTCCGTCCCCTCAGCCCTTGGCAGCCACCATCTTATTTTTGTTTCTATGAATTTGATTACTTTTTATATTGCATGTAAGTAAAACCGGCTTTTTCATGTAGCATAATGTCCTCAAGGTTCATCTTTGTTGTAACATGTGCCAGAATTTTCTCCTTTTTTAAAGCTGAGTAGTATTCCTTTGTATGTGTATGCCATATTTTCTTTATCCATTCCTTTCTTGATGGACTTTTGGGCTGTTTGCCTCTCTTGGCTATTGCGAGTAATACTGCAGTGTGCGTGTGTATGCAGATTCTCTTCAAGACCCTGCTTTCAATTCTTTTGCCTATATACCCAGAAGTGAGATTGCTAGATCATATGGTAATTCTGTTTTTAATTTTTTGAGGAAATTTTTGTTTTTGATAGTGCCTACACTATTTATCATTCCCATCAACAGAGTACGGGGTTCCAGTTTCTCTGCATCCTTGCCAACCCTTAGTATTTTCTGTTCTTTTGATAGTGGCCTTCTAATGGGAGCACAGTAAGAATTTTTCTCCTTTTTTGCAATTTTCTAGAGATTGCATTTTAACTTGGCTAGGGCCTGATAGTATAGACAGTAACTTTTTTCTTTAATAGAGAAGCAAAGGAAAAATCTATTCCTTTTTGCATTATATACTAAGTACGTGTTACAGTTCTAAAGGCCCTCAGTCAAGTTGCCCCTTACACATAATAATTAATTCTTAGACTTTTACTTACACATGGATTGTTCCACAGTGGTCACCAAGTTCCCTAGTTATGGTCTTCCAAGCCCAAGCCCAGAGTGCATGTGATGGTCCAATGCCACATCATAACATCTGTTTGGCCTACTCTCTCACATAGAAATGTGATCACTGGCAGGAATCAGTGGCTTTTCCCCAAGAGTAATGAGGTGGAAAAAGTTTAGAACTGGGGAGCCAAGATAAATGACAAAGGACCAAATCAAGCTCCCAGGGCAAGACGCTAACAGACTGCCAGAGGTGGGAACATTGTGGGCGCAGCTAGTGGCACCTGGAGACCTCATTATGTGGCAGCTCAGGTTGTTTCTGACCAGGGCCCAGCAGGTGGAAAGGGCCCATGGATAAAGGCAAGACAGAAATAGTAGGATCTTTCTCATATTAGAGAAAAACCAAAGTTGAGGGCTTAATGCTTCTGTATCTCCACTGGATTTCCCCCAACAAATGACTTGCAGTTAGAGTTTCAGGGGTCAGTTTATTCACATGGCTTGTGGGGTAGAAATAGGATTTTGTGGTTCTCGAGTCAGGGTTAAATGCAGAGCTTGTCTCGCTGTGGAGGTGGCAGTGTTCAGGACTGTGTCCACGCATGGCCATGGCACTTGTTAGCCCCTGAGAACCTACCTCAGCTCGAGAGATGTCTGGTCCTCTGCCCAGTGTCCAGCGTGTCATAATCACGACTACCCACTGACACATCCCCCTTTATCTCTCATCTCTATTGTAATTGCCCCCCCCCCAACAATCCTTCTCTTGCATGTGTGCTAAGTCGCTTCAGTTGTGTCCAACTCTTTGTAACCCTATGTATTGTAGCCCATCAGGCTCCTCTGTCCTTGGGATTGTCCAGGCAAGAAAACTGGAATGGGCTGCTGTGCCCTCCTCCAGGGGATCTTCCCCACCCAGTGATCAAACCTGTGTCTCTTACATTTCCTGCATTGGCAGGCAGGTTCTTTACCCCTAGTGCCGCCTGGGAAGGCCCATCATTCTCTTAAATACTTTGTTTCTGGCCACTTCTTTGCATCTTGATTTCTTTTCCCTTTCAGGTAGCTGTCTTCTGATGATTTTTAATGTATTTACTTCCCCGATTGTTCTTCAAAGTATTTAAGATGTAACTCAAAGAGGCACATGGTACACTAGATTAAAAATAAAATAGATAAAGAAATAGGCAATGGAAAAAAATTGTCTGAGGCGAAGGGTCTGGTTAGTGAACAAACAAATACTGTGTGGTTCTCTCCAGTTCCTGGAGTCATTCTGATTTTGGTTTTGAGTGTAATCAATTACATGATTCATACAGAAAACTAAGAATAGACTGGTCTGCAGGCACATCTTTTCTTGTTCCTGGGACTTGAGAATAATTTATCCTGTGGATCCTCATAAAGGAAACACTGTGAATAGAAAGCTTAGAAATAATACTGAGGTCTAGGTAGCTCTTGGGCATTTTTCTGAAGGGTGAAATGAAGGAACTATAGATTTAATTTTTCCTTTTATTTTGCATTGGTATATAGGCAGTACTGATCATGAATATTTCTAGGCAAGTCATAGATGAAACACTTTACTTCAGCATCAGCCTGACAAGATCAGTGTGTGTGTGTGTGTGTGTGTGTGTGTGCGCGCACGCGCATAACATCTATAGAAGCCAAGAGTGCTGCTGTGTTAACTCTGCTGTTTAATCTTGAAAATTTCAGTTGGCAAAGTAAATGGAGACAATGATCTGTCTTTAATTTGAAAGATGTTTGTGTGTGCTTTGCATAATGTTGACACTTAAAACAGTTGGCAAACTTGAATAAGAAGTCTGTGCCTAGAGTTTATACATTTTCTGCTGTTCACCTCAGGATGCAATTTTCCAAACCTCATTGCACAAGATCAGCTTCACTGTTGAGTCTGTAGTGAGGCCATGGGTCCTCTCACTGCTGTCTAGCTAGACAGTTGCCGGGTGCCCTCTTTGAAAACTGCTAGTAACCTTTGTCTGATTTTATTGTCATTGCAGTTATAATGCCAGCCTTGCTATCTTTCCTGGCAAGAGAACTTCAAATGACATGAAGGGAAAAAAGAGAAACAGGAACCATCCCTCATCTGAGCGAGGCTGTGAACTTGTAAGGGAAGAGTAATGCAGTTAGTTTCACCCCCACTAACCCCCAATTGTGTTCCAGGCTCACTCTACATCCATTAGTGCTCTTCTTTCTTCCTTCCAGGAAGGCCCCACCTTCTGTTATCTTGAATTCTAAAAAGCATAAATCTCATCCCAGCACACATTCAGATTCCACCCAGTGGTGGGATATCAACAAAATATAACTGACAGCAGAGAAGAGAGGAGAACCATGGGGGCCTGCTCATGGTGTTCAGGTCTCTTAGTCCATCAGCATTCTCTTGGGCCCTGGCTGGGCAACACAGTCTAAGCATTCTCGACCCGCATCGCTAGTGTCTGTTTCTTTGTTCCTAGTTTGAAAATTGCCTGCCTGTGGGTTGAAAGTGCTCCCAATTTTAGCATTTGTTTTGAGCCCACATCTGCCCACTCGTTCTGCAGGCAGAGCTGTTTGCAGGGATTGATTGAAAGTGAACCTGCCAGAAGGAAACGCTTCATTCCCCCCACCGTGCTGGTGTGATTTTTCCTCTCTGTAGGTGCCCGTTTGCTTACAGTGTTACTCTCTGCTTTTCTGTCCTTTCAGTGGACTTTCCGAGCCCTGTCCAGCTATCGCACTGGGAAGTTTTTTGGTTCAGTGTAATTGCTGACTAAATGATTTGCTCATTTGCCTCAGAGGAATGAATGGTTGAATCAGACCGAGGACACACATTTGATATTCTGCTTGCTCTTGCAGAGCAGATGCCTTCTATTACTGAATTTTGAGGGAGTTATTTAGAAAATAATAAAACTAACAGCTAAGCACTGATTTTTTTTTTGTCTCCATCCTGCATCATTGCCAGCTTGACTGTAATTATGTCATTCAAGGAAAGATTCTAACCATTTCCTTTCCCTGGCCCCTTTGTGTTTCAGAAGAGCTGAATTTGGGCCATATTTCTAAAGGAGTGAATCACATACAAGTGTAAAAACGGCTTTATGTGAATGAAGTCATTAGGAATTTTGTCGAGTTTGTTGAGTGAAATCTTGAATGGAATGGTAAAAGGAGTTGAGAATAATTCTGCTGACATAGATAATGGAAAATTAGTGGAGGTGATACAGTTTTTATCAGTTCATGCAAAACCCAAGGAAAAAGAAATCAAAGAGTTGTTAGAAGTTTATGAAATTTTTGTAGTGCTTTTCCTTAAAATAACACACATGAAGTTGTAATTTTACCTGGTTAACAAGTTAGTGCAAGGGATGTGGTAATAGCTTGAATCTGACCCTGAAATGATGTTTCTTTTACTCATGGGATGTTACCTGCAGTGAAGAGACTCAAATTATCTTAAAACCTCTCAACTTTCATTGTAAAAATTTTTACTTGCCTGCTGCTTATCTGTAGCTCTAGGGCATTAGAACTTTCTGGAAGGATGGAAAAATGTTGTTCAGTGTTGTAGCCACTAACCACATGTTGTGTATCATCAGCATTCTGCCAGGAGGAGTGGCTCGATATCATGATCAGTTCAGTTCAGTCTCTCAGTTGGGTCCGACTCTTTGCGACCCCATGGACTGCAGCACGCCAGGCTTCCCTGTCTGTCAACAACTCCTAGAGCCTACTCAAACTCATGTCCATCACTTTGGTGATGCCATCCAACTATCTCATCCTCTGTCATCCCCTTCTCCTCCCACCTTCAATCTTTCCCAGCATCAGGGTCTTTTCCAATGAGTTGGTTCTTCGATATCATGATAAAGTCCTTTAAAAATACAGACTAGTATGAAATGCTTATTATCCATAAGGAACTTTTGTGTTCCCATGCATGATAATAACAAGATGCTCTTGAATTCATAACCTGGTTGTTAAAATGTGTGATGTTTTAAAGCAGCAGTCCTCGAGTCTGCGCCCGTGGACCGAGCAGGTGTGGACAGCTCCCCCACAGCCGATGCTACAGAACTCTCACCTTGCAGGTCGCCCTCAACTCCTCGGCACCTCCGCTACCGCCAGCCTGGAGGTGAGCCCTCAGAAGGGGACTCAGAAACACGCGAGTGAGAGCTGATTCTGGCTCCTGAATCTTTTGTTTACCTTACCATTTCAGTTCTCAAATATTTTTCAGTCTCAATTATGAAAATTAATTGGAAGCAAATGTTACCATGGGAGCAAGTAGTGGAACATAAATGATTAGAGAAAATGTCACTAGTATAACCAGTATTTACTTGACCACCATCATTGCATGGCATTTTGTGTGCAGTAACCTGAATCTGATTCTTGGTTGTCAGTTGATTGAATGTCAGTACTGGTTTTGCCAAAATGTTCCCAGACTCTGATGACCTTACTCTGATGACCTCCCAGTGTAGTCTGTATTAAATAGGTTCATCTGGGACACAAAACTGTAGAGTGACCTTATTAAGAACAATATTTCAGCTAAAGTAATGTCCAGTTGCCTGGGACTCTAGTCTTCATTATTGTTAGTGACAGAATCTGGTATATTTTCTATTATGAAAATTAGAAAATATTATCCCATAATTTGTTTTCAAATATGCCATTTCTAATTGAAGGGAAAACCATCAGAGCAAAAGATAGAAATCTTTTATCTCCCCATTGCTCAAATAAATACAACCCCAGATAACAGTTGTTTTTGAAATGTCTCCTTTTTTCTCAAGACAATTATTTCAAGTTGGAAGGGAAAATTATTCATTTGTGAAAGCGGATTCACCCCAAGTAACCTAAGTAAATGTAGCTGTTTTCTGACTTTCATATTCCTATTCAAGTAAGGCAGTTTAGCAAAAGACAGAGTGCATGGCTCCAAATAGTCATTTCATTTGTAGCCTCAGCAACACAGCGGAAGCTATTGTCGCCATCAGCTCCAAGAGCAGCTAGCCTGGGTGGACCACTGTCAGCAGAATTGCCCTGATGGATGTTAGCCCTTTGGGAGTGGGACTGATTTTGAGTTCCTGATCAGTCATGGGTCACCCTGACATTTGGGTACTTCTGGAAAACCAATGTGACAAGTTAGACTTCCCTGCCTTGTTATAAGACTACTGTGGGATTGGCCAAATCTCTTTACTACACTTAGAGCCTTGATCAGTCCAGACCTTGGCAACTTCTCTGACCATTTCCCTGTCAGACAGACTCCCTTGAGTTCATTATAACCTGGAAGAGTTTGGAGTCAAATTATATGGAAGCAAAACTTTACCGAGGCAAGAGTTATTTAAATGCTTTCCACTTGGTTACTATCATTACAGCTCTGCTTTATGGTCTATTTTCATATGTTTATATTCATTTAAAATTCTTTAAATTTATATAGGCATTATTTGAAAATCCTCATCCTGTTTGTGGATTAATTAAGTCCTTTGTTTCTTTCCTGATCCAACCAAATCCCAGAGATGCAGGAAGGAAACCACAGTCTGTGATGATGTATGGAGTCTCCAAATAGTGGCAGCAGCCTACATTTTCTCACTGTGTAGCTGAAATTTTGCCTGTTCATCTGTCTCCTTGCCCACCTTGTTCCACAAATATTTTCAGGCTACAGCTGAAGGAGAGGGTAGAGCTGTTTTGTGCTTTTGTGCTTAGGCACGTTAAGCAGCTCTTTGCTTCCCCACTTATTTATTTTAAGCACGACTGTATGACTTTAGAGGCAAACTAATAAAGCCACAGAATCACAGAAAAGCCACAGAAGAAGTGAACTATCTTCACTAAAATCTGAGTGATAAAAAGAGTGAGGTTGGCATCAACATTATCAAATGCTATGTGTAAATATGTGAAAAGCGAGAGGAGCTACCAAAAGGTGTTCGGTGCGTCCTTCAGTATGAGAGCCTATCCCCCTTTCTAAGGGTGCTTTGAGAAGAAAATTCTATCTGTAACATGTAGAATATTTTTAAAAAATATTTTTTATAATGAGATAAAATTCACATACCATAAGATTCACCCTTTTAAAGTGTGCGGTTCAGTGGTTTTATATATTCACAAGGCTGAGCAACCATAACCACTATCTCAATCCAGATATTTTCATCACCCCTGCTAGAGAAATCCTGTACACATCAGTGGTCACTTCCCATTCTCATCCCCCCACATACCTGGAAACCACTAATTTACTTTTTGTCTCTATGTATTTACCTATTATGGACATTTTCTATAAATGGGATCATATAATACATGATTTTTTGTGACCAACTTTCACTTAGTATGATGCTTTCAAGGTGCATTCATGTTGTAGTATGTATGACTACCTCATGCCTTTTGTGGCTACATCATATTCCCTCACATGGGAATTTTTGATATGGTTTATCATTTCATCAGTTGGTGGAGATTTGGCTGTTTTTACTTTTTGGCTATTATGAATAATACTGCTGTGAATGTTTGTGTGTAAGTTTTTGAATAGACATATGTTTTCATTCTCTTGGGTCTATAACTAGAATGAACTTGCTGACATAGAATCTTGTTATTTGCCTATGAATAAGGACAACACAGGGTATTTGACCCAACCCTTCATTCAGTGCAGAAATGAAAATGAGAATTTTCATCGTGTAATATTATACATCTGCCTCACCATGCCATCTCCATTCTTTTTAAATAACCAGGACAGACGGCTGACAGCTCCCACTGCTCTGTTTCCCCGGCCTCTGCGTTTGCAATCGCTACGGCTGCAGCAGGACATGGGAGTCCACCCGGTGAGTAGGGGCGAGCTGCTGAGCGCTTGGCAGTTAATGGCCCAGACCTCTGGCAAATTTTGGGAAATCAGTGGTCCTTGCCTGCCAGCATCTTGATAATACACTGGGCAGCTTCTTAAAAATGCAGATTCCCAGCCCCCGAGTCTTAAGTCAGTGTGTCTTGGTGTGAGACTGTCTTTTAAATAAGCACCTACAGGTCAGTCTCATACAGGTAGCCTATGCTTAACACTTTTGAGAACTTCTGTATCAGGGAAGGATGTGTTATTTTTCTTATGTTGTATTAACAGAGTTCTTTAACCTTTTAAGCCAAATTGTTGAGAACACCTTTTCCTTTTAATTGAGTACAGTGCTAAAAGCATTTGCAAGGTGGGAGGGAAGGCTTGTGAAGGGGGTGGGAGAGGAGAGAGGGATCTATTGCTTTAGTGGACTCATAACTCACTTCCAGTAGCTCCATGGTGCTGAGCTGTTGTCAGTTAATTTTCAAGGTAAAGAAGTACCTAAAATAAAAGCACAGTATTTTAAATAGATGAAAAATTATATTTATTATCTCTATCCTCCTTTCTCACGTGCAAGAAGGACATTATGTTAAAATAAATCTGTATGTGGTTTAAACAATCCTGTTGCTATGAGTTCCTTCACCTAAACTAACTCCACAGGTTCCAGGAGTGATGATACATGTTGTTAATTATCAGTTGCTCATTAATAATGGACAAAAAAGTTAATTTCCAAAGCCTATGAACCTGTATTCAACAGTAGTAACTTGTAGGTACTGTCTGGGTGAAAGCTTTCTAAACTGATGTAAGAACAGAGAGATATTCTAAAATGAACATAAATTGCCATAGTAATTATTATATATACATATATATATTCCATCTGAATGGAAAATCTTTGCACACTGATGACATTCCACATCTTAAATATTTTACCACACACCCTTCACTGGATGTGGTCAGGCAAACTGGGGATGTTCTTTGCCCCAAATATTCCCTAAAACTTCCCCCCAATTCCCATCAGCGTGATACAATACATCCTGTAACGGCAATACTATGGATGTCTTCTCAATCCAGTCAGCTTCTGCTGTTGACTGCATGTTATAATAATGAAGATTTCTTTGATGAAGTAATAGGGGTCTTCTTTACCCTTTCGGCAGAGTGAGTTATCAACTGTGATTCGTTGAGACCTTCTCCTGTCTTTTGTTCTCATAATCTGGCCCGTCTTTGGAAAAGGTGAAGTACAGAGCTTCCTCACAGGTTTCTTAATTTAAATATGATTTGTGAGGGAAAATAGCTTTTTGGTCAATTTGGAATGAGCCCATCTCCCCATTAGCTGGAGGCTGGGTCAGGGAAAGTACCTGTATTCACCCGAGGCTGAAGCAGACTTCTGATGGAGAATGGCTTTGGAACTCAGGCTTATCCATCCATGATGAGCCAGAGATGGAGTATCCCTAAGAGCCACCTTCCTCACTGTCTGAACCCTGCTGCTGCTCTGCCACCTGTCTTCTTGCTTCTCTCCTGCTGCTGCAAGAGGTGCAGCGAGAAAGCTCTCCTCGGTCAGTCGGCTGAGGAGGGCAGACTGCTGGCTGACCGCAGCCAGTGTGCTGGGTGCAGAGTAGCCTGGTCCTCCTCGCATCACACTGCCGCTGCGGTCACCTATAATGTGGTCTGGAGCCTCCTGATCCAACGGTTTTATTTATTTTTTTATGGAGGAGAAAGAGTGGCTTTATTACTTTGCCAGGCAAAGGGGGCACACAGTAGGCTAGCACCTCAAGAGCTGTGCCCCTACATGATCCAATTTTATTCATAAATGAAATGCAAGATGGATTTGACAGTGTCTGTGGCCCTGCTCTCAAGCAGCAAGCTACACAGGGGTCAGTCTCCATGGCCTATGGTACTAAGAAAGGGGATCAGTTTTGGAGTAGGGATCAGTACTTCCCTGGGGCTCAGCTGCTCCATGGAGCTGGCCCCACAGAAGAGTCCGCCTGCCTGGGAGAACTTGGCAGAAGGGCCAAGTTCACAGGTCAAGAGAGCAGGTGGACATGGAGCCGAAAGAAAGGAAGTACTAAGAAGATGATCTGGATTTCTTGGCTGGTCAGGGAGAGCCTGATGCTGTCCAAAGAAGTTCTAGGCCCAGAAGAACAAATGTCCGAGGGAAAGGAGTGCTAGATAACGGTTAAGATCCCCTATCAGACTTTTCATCCACTCTCTGAATCAGGATTTGCTGACCCGCATGTGCCCCCAGAATGTGGAGAGCTGCCAAAGTGAGCAGGAGAGAAGGTTGTAGAGACCTCATGCTCCCATCTGTCTTTGCAGGACTGTCTGCTTGTTTCACTGCAATATAAGCCTGCCTGGTGGTGCCGATCTGCTGCTTGTGGCTGGTAGCCTGACACAAGGTGCTGCCCGGCCAAGTCATGCAGTCTGCCGAGTGGGCTTCCATATTTCAGGCTCCTCTTCAGGTTCCCTCCCGCTTTAATCCTCCTCCCTCTATCTCCGAGTCCCCCACCTCTACCTCCATCAAAATACATAGCAGTCTGGGAACTCTGGGTTAGAACCATCAATTAGTGGTTATGCTTTCAAATATTCACTCCAGACATTTGCATGTGAGCCATTTCTCATTAATGATTGCTTAGAAGGTAACTTTACTGCATGAGAATGAATTTGAATTTAGCAAGAGGATGAACAGAAAATTTCTTCACAAGAAGGCCTAACAAGATGTACATGCCTAGCTGTAAAGGCAGAGAAAGCTGAGTTTTATCTATGGCAGGTGGCCTGGGATCTGCTCAGGATTGCCAGTCCTGCCCCTTGGGTCCAAGCCTATCTGATTTTTGCACACACTGGAAAAGTCTAGATTTTTCTCTCTGGTTTCTTTTAGGACCTAGAGCCTGTCCTTTCCAAAGATAGGTTTCTTTTCCTTCCATGTCATGCCCTCTTTCCTCGTAGACCAACAGGAGTCCCTCTGTTGGAGAGGAAGAAAAGACTGACCTGTCGACATGGTTTAACACAGCTAATTCTTATTGACTTCACATTATGAAGATTTCACAGCTTATTTTAGTGCTTGCCTTCCAAATGGCAGCCAAGTTACATTAGACCCACTATGGAGGGATCCAGGATTTGTAGGGTATAACACACAATTTGCCTCAAGCAAAAGCGTATCAAATTACAAGTACAAACCTTCAGAGCACTGGAAGAGGCCCAGACACATCGAGAGGCCCTCAGGCTTAAGCTTCATTGGCTTCCTGGTAAATCTGCTTATGAGTTCAGTCCTGATCATTCCTGGAATGAGAGCAGCTTTAGGAAATTCTGATCATCTGGGGGAGCAGGTGGGGGTGAAGGTGGCAGTCGGACCAATGATCATCCATCAGTCAAATAAGTCCTCTTTTTTGTGGTGGGGTTTTAACTCTATGCAAGACCGAGACAAAAAAAATCAGTGGGTCTTATGAGCCACCACACTGGTTGAAATGTAGTTTCAAGCATCTGCTCAAATTGAGGAGCTCTGCATTAAAGTCAGATTAAAATGTGTGCCTTTCAGATGGCTGCTGATACAGGGAATGTGCAGGTGCAGTTTGGATATAGTTATGATTTGAATAGAAATGCAAATCCAGTGAATACACATATCAGGGCATATCATGGTGCTTACTATACACCTGAAGCTCTGGGATTAATGATAGAGTTTATGAAATGATCTAAAATGAAATATGAAAGTGTGAGGTGGGTTATTTTTATGAGAGTAGAAATAATGGCAGTGGAGGTACTACAAGCAACTCTTGATTATCTGGGAGAAGATTGTAGGTTTTGCCATTCTGTGCAAGTCAAACTAAATTAACAAAGTAGAGGAATGGTTGACTGCATTTATAGGAAAATTAATGGCACAGTTACAGTTGCTTGGGGCAATAGTGAGTTCTTTATTGGTGGTGACTTGGTAATTGTAAAATAGATAATTCATAATCTGTTTTACGCCATGTCAAACCACTCAGGTTTGTGTAGCCAGTAGTAGATCTGAGCTTGGTGTGAATTGGCCTTGGACCTGCTCTTTATTTGTTTTTTATTGGCGTATAATTGATTTACAATGTTGTGTTTCTGTCTGTTGTGCAGTGAAGTGAATCAGTGTGTGTGTGTGTGTGTGTGTGTGTACACCCCCTCCCTCTTGGCCCTCCGTCCCACTCACATCCCCATCCCACCCCTCTGGGTCATCACAGAGCTCTGAGCTGAGCGCCCTGAGCACACGGTGGCTTCCCATTGAACATCTATTCTACACATGGTGGTGCTCGTATGTCAGTACCACGCTCCCAATTCTGGACCCACTTTTTAAAATACCGAGAACTGGTCCCACCTCCACAGGTTCTGACTTGATTGGTCTGGGTACATCCTGGGCATCCAGATTTTTAAAGTTCCCCAGGTGATATTTGGACCTAGGTGGAGCCAAGATGGAGAACCACTAAACTAGCTGGAGAAGGTATGTTTATTCCTTCTCTGGTTGTAGCATGCCTACTGAAAGTATCCTAGTCTGAGACATATTTTCTATTTTTTTTCAAGCATAATATAAAATCCATTAAAAAATGTCTTAATATAGCTAGTTGAAGTTTGGAAGACAGCCTGTATCTGATTTATGTTTTTAATGAAAACATTATTATCGCTATTATTAGTGAAAAACAAAGAGCTTTGGCAAACCAAATGTAACTGAAAGTGACTCCAAGTCTTATTTTAAATTATTTATTTTTAAGTTTCAAATGTACAACATTGTATAATACATCAACTTCTGTATTCAGTACTGTGTGAATACACAGAAAGTTTCCATCCACACTATGCAGTTGACCCCCTTTAACCATTGCACCATCCTCAATGTCCCTTTCCCCTTGATAACCATTACCCTGTATCTATGTTCATTTCTGTTATATTTGGTTTAGTTGTTTATTTTTTATATTCCTCATATGAGTAAAAACATATGGCATTTGTCTTTTTCCATCTGACTTATTTCATTTAGCATAATACCCTCAAGGTCTATCC